TTGTCGTGGTAACCAACGGTTTGATTGATCATATATCAACAAATAGTTTTTGTGTCAGTAACAAAACTTTGATTATTGGTACAAAACATTTCTCTCAGTATGTGTGAGCGTATACAAGAGCATGTGTGAGCGTGTCCAAGAGCGTATGTGAGCGTGTGCAAGCGTGTGCATGTGAGCGTGTGTGCGTGTGCGTATGAGCGTGTGCGTGTTCAAATCACGTCGGGGTCACCAATGTGGAAATGTCCACTAAGGAGGCCTCACTCGAAGCTTTGTGGTCGGTCGCAACGTTTCTTCCTGGTCCCACATTACTAGACTGATCAGTAAGGCGATGTAGTGTGGGACTTGCCTTAACCCACACAACGAGACACCTGGAATGAATCCAGAATGATATTCTATTTAAAGGGAATTCGCGCGGCGCGGTACTTACGCGAACCGAGTGAGTCCCGTGGACTTCTATTGGCGAGTCGCCACACAAGCAATAACTTTTTATGGTTCTCTAAGGTTCCGCAGTGAGGTCAAAATCGGATTTTTTTAACATCCTCCTTTAAGATCGGTCAGAAAAATCTTATCCCGAATCGAATTTTAACCCAATTGGGTTCCAAATAGTTTCGGGTTCCGAATCAAGAATTTTATCTCAAAACTTAGGTACCTGAACATTCGGGATCGACCCGATATTTCCAGGTACTCACACATCCCTATTTTCGACATTTCAAAAAATGTGTACGCGCTATTTATTTTTCCATATATTTTATAGTTTCGAAGATAGGTATTTCTTAGATTTGAAAAAAAAATCTATTATTTTTGAGAGATTGTGTCAACCCCTTGAGATAAGTAAATATAAATATATATAAGTTTAACATTTTTTTTTAGACTTTACAACATAACTAAAGCCTATTAAAATCAGAAGTTCCGACAGAGTTCTTTTATTAAAAAATGAAAAACGCATTTTCGCGATTATACTACACTGAAAAAAAAATCTAGTTATAGCTACCAAATATTGAGTGAAATAGTTTCAACTAAATGTTGAGGTAATATAACTAAACATAAGTTTACTTTTACAAATATTTAGTGAATATTATTAAATAATATTACCAACGGTAATACTTACTGAATATTTGTAAAGGTAAACTTATGTTTAGTTATATTACCTCAACATTTAGTTGAAACTATTTCACTCAATATTTGGTAGCTATAACTAGAATTTTTTTTTCAGTGTACTTGAAGATTGGATCTTATGCAAATGCATCGAACGCAGTTCTTCCGTCCATGGATGTTGGCCAGTGAGAATATGTCTCCCAATTCGCTTTGTCTGTCGCCCCCATTGCCTTAAAAATTTTCGCTTTCACGTTAATTAGTGTGGCACTCTCGATACGCAAAATCGACCGCGGCTATTAGAGAGCCGAATCTCTTCGAAAGTGCAGAAATAAAGTATCGACCTATACATACTAACTCTCGCATTTCACGGAATAAAACTGCGCTCGTAACGGCAGCAATTCGCCGAATGACGATCACCGATGTTTAATGGAAGCATTTCGCAGAGCGTTTGAAACTTGAACGATAATCGAGCCCGATTTCGATTCTGCAGCTAAATCGAACGGTTAATTGGACCGAAATAGAGACCGTTGCACCACGCATACTGAATTTAGCATGCAATTTTTTTCGGCAATGCTTAGGTTTTTATTAAACGATACCGTGTATCAAGGCCCGTCTACAATACACGGAGTAAGAAGTAAGAGTAAGAAATTGACCAATCACAGACGATTATTCTTCTCACATTCGACTGTGATTGGTCAATTTCTTACTCTTACTTCTTACTCCGTGTATTGTAGACGGGCCTTTAAACGATATGTGAAATCATATATAAAAGAAGATATGAATGCATAATAGCGAATAGATAATTCATGCGATTCGAAACCACAGTAATCAAGAGAAGCACACGAAAAGGTTTTGTTAAAGTATTTAAAGTTTAAACATTTTTATCTAGACATACTTTAACTTAAAAAAATTGACTAAATAATTAACGTTGCTCTTGTTTAGTTTATAGGTCTTTTTACGTTGTTTAAAATTCTCAAAATATAGTTTACACTTACAAAGAGATAAGTATACAGTGAAAGCAAAAGGTATTCGTACAAGAAAATTTGTTATAAAAAAGTCTTATTTGTAGAAAATAAACATTAGCAATTTTATACAATACAATAATGAATACATTCTGTTCTAACATAAACAAGCTTCGCATGTATTCCTGATTTTATGAGTTAAATTTCTCGTCTGTATGAATATTTTTTGAGCATTTAAACAATACAATTTTTAATTTTTACTTATTTTTTAGATGATATACTTTGTATGATTAATACACATCTTTTTGATATATATAATTTTAAGAAACATACAGTATATTTTATTCTTTATGAATAAATTGTTGATTATCCAACAAGAAATGATCGTCAATTAAACATCGAATCGATGTCAAATTGATATTAAAATCATTGTATTTATATCGATTCGACATCAATTTGATGACTCATTTCTCACTGGATAATATTTAATTTTTAAAAATAAAATTAAAAAAAATAATATTTTCTCTGTACGAATACTTTTTGCACTCACTATATATATTCAGGCGTTGTGAGTCGAAAAGTCCTCTACCGTTTTGCAATTTTCACGATGGTTAATAAGATGTTAATTACTAAAAATCGTCAAATATTAGTTTTCAATAATTTTTTTATTAAAGTACTATTAACTTTGCAGAAAAACAGCAAAAGACAAAAATTTTTTATTTTGTTTTCATAGAACTCTACGAATTTTTCAGAATTTTTTATCAAGTTTTTAGTAATGCATTTTTTTATTGGCAACTATCTTTACCAACATAAGAAAATGTAGTTGCTAAAAAATTTTGAAAAAATTCTCAGTAGATATGAGAAAAAAATTAATAATTTTTGTCTTTTGCTGTTTTTCTCTAAAGTTAATAGTACTTCAGTAAAAAATTATTGAAAACCAATATTCGGTGATTTTTAATAATTAATGTCTTGTTAACTATTGCAAAAATTGCAAAATGGTAGAGCCTGTTCAACTCTGATTAGTCCGTTCTATATGCGCACGAAATATTTGGCGGTCATTCTGGGACACCCTGTATAATTGCATTTCAAGTCCGACAATAAACAGTGCATAGTTCATATGATTAAAGATTTATTTAGTATTTGGAATTTACATATAAAAATATTATTTATTATTAGACTTATAAGAATTTTAATAAGCCTCAACTGTATTAGCGTTTTTCTTACTTATTTGAATTATACTATAAAATGTTCAAGCCAATTATTAGACTATTAAACTTTTTGCAGCATTATTCATCAAGCATGAGTGCCCTACATAATTATTTTGATGATCCAATAAAATTATTTTCTGATCTCTTTCTCTCTGTAGCTAAATTTTTAGATATTTCAGCAAAACTATTCTTTCCGTACAGAATTGACATCTCTTATTATCTTATAAACGAAACAAAAGCAACATGTAATATAATTGAATAATAACGTAAATTAACGAATAGTAAAATATTATAGTCAATCAAGTTTAAAATTATTATATTATAATATATTGACGCAAATAATTCGATCAAAATGTCAAACGGAAAAACAAATTTTCCTGCAGTAGCTCTCTCTCTAATCTTGGTTTATTAAAATATATTTGCTGCCATAACTATAAAGGAGGCTTACCGGATTTTTTACGTAAATGATGGAACCTTTCTTATAGTATTAATTTAAATAAAAATCAAACGTTAATTTTAAGCTAAATTAATGGAAAAATATTAAAAATTGCAAAAATCAAATATCGACGAAATTGTGTTACTTTGATGCAATTTTCAACATGTTTTCATCAGATCAGTTTGAAATAAACGTTTGCGAATAATTCAGCACATCAAAAAGTATACAAGAAAACATGCATAAAAAAAGATTTCATTTTGGCCAAAATCCAATAATTTTACCCATTTTCCTTTATAGTGAGATGATTTGCTGTTGCTGCTATAATATAGGTACCATAGCTAAGACCTAAGACATTAGTTATAATATTTATATTTTAGTTGTTCATATTTTACACCTACCATTTAGTTACCACACACAATTTTTATTTACGGCAGCTATTTTTTTTCTGTGCAAAATAACAGACAATACAGGGTATATACAATGAACTTTCGGGATATTTTATTGTGTTAAAAATCAGATAATATTGATACGACGACCCAATCTTTGTTATTTATGCCATATATAGGGTAGGATATTATGAGCACCTTAAGAACACATTTTGATATATCTATCAAAGAATAAAAAACTCTTAATACCCACCTAGTGCTCATATTACCCTCTAAGTAGGATAATATGAGCACAGGAATTTTCTTGTATGAAATTATATAGAAATGAAAGATTGGTGTATATGCATATATATATATATATTTGTAAAAGTAACATTTTTGGTAAAAATAACACATTTCCATGAAAACAAACATTCCTCAGGAAGAGTTCATGATTGCTGTCCGGATGGTATTGAATTCAACATTTTTTCCTTCAATAAAAATTTTTATACACAGATTTTCGGCACTCCAATGGATTTATCGTTATCTCCAATAATAGCCAACATAGTAATGCAAAACCTAGAAATAGGACGATTTACACGGTGCTGCTTTCATTCGCTTTGAGCAAACTTCTTAATTCGTCAGCAAATTCGCTAATGAAAACTTCTTCTAGACGTTCGTTTTTTATTCATTAGCGTCAAATATTTTGAAGAAATAGACGCTAGCGTACAATAGTCGCTGCAACTAGCGGTAATGAAGTTGAACCATGTTTAACTTTAACGCTCTCGCCAAGCGAATAGCTGAGCGAGTGAGGACGGCCATTTTCAAAAGTCATGGCGCCACGAAAAGACGCTATAAAAGTTGCTGTTATACTTTGTGCACGGGCATTGCAAGCTGAAATTCGCAATTCTATAATAAAACGGAAAAAAAAAGAATGTGGGTCCGCAAATGGATTCATAGGAGACCAGTTCTAAGTGCATCAAATAATCTTTTCAAGGAGTTGGCATTGGAAGATCCAGTCGCGTATCATAAAGTATTGCGATTAACACGTGAAAAATTTGAGGAGCTTTTGGAGAAAGTACATCCACTTATTCAGAAAAAAGATACTCAAATGCGTCCTGCTATTCCATCTCGGACTAAATTGGAAATTACTCTTCGGTATCTAGCTACAGGGGACTCATATCAATCTCTCGAATTACTCTTCAGAGTTCCAGCCTGCACTATTTGCACATTTCTGCCAGAGGTTCTTGATGCAATCAGGCAAGTATCATGGGATTATCTAAAGGTAAGTCTTAAAAAATGTATAAACTGAAAAAGGGTTTCCTAAATCTTAATACATATTTATTTGAATAGTACTAATTGTAAGTAAATATTTACTTACAGTAAATAAACATTTATTCAATAAACAAATAATTAAATCGGATTACTTGAAAAAATTATAGATTATTCTAAAACGCATCTAAAAATAATACAAAAAATTACAATCCCCTTAGAGAGACAATCTAAGATTTTATTTTAAAAATCATTATGTTATAATTTTGAAATAAATATTAATTTTTTAAGGAAGAAAAAAATGTGACTTTAGGAATATATTTTTTCACATTTTTATTTTTAAATTGATATTACAATTTTTCCATGCCTGAAAAATATAATGTAGTTTTAAGCACAATATATATCAAATTTTATTGAGAAAACTATCTCTATTCACACTGGAATGTTTAACAGAAAACGTATTTCTTTGATTAAAAAAAGAAGTGTTTTTATTTTGATGATAAAAGAAACGATATTAAAAAAAAATTAATAATTAAAATCTTGTACCATATTAAATAGAGAGAAGTTTTAATACTCTATTGATTAAAAAATATCAAGGTTGAGAAAGTTGGAACAACAAATCAGATTTTTGCAAAAAAAAATTATCTAACGATTCAGTTCACATGCTTTTATAAAAGAAACATCTTTTCTACTATTTAAACATGTCAAACGTGCAATGTCGTCTTTGTTATCAATAGTTTTATTGAGATCGATGATCTGATATGAATGTCATAGAGTTATCTTAATTTTCACTAATCTTATCGAGATCCATGATTTGCTTCGATGTAGAGTCATCTTTATTTTCATCAGTAAGTTTATCGAAATCGATGATCTACTTGGATGTAGAGTCATTTTTATTTTCGTCAGTAAATTTATCGAGATCTATGATTTGCTTGGATGTAGAGTCATCTTTATTTTCATCAGTAAATTTATCGAGATCGATGATCTGCTTGGATGTAAAGAAATTTGGCAATATCGAGGAATGTGAAGAATAAGAAAGATGGTGGTGAAAGAAGAGAATGTTATGGTAGATGGATAGGAGGATGTTGTGGTGAATGGACAGGAGGTGAATAGGAAATGGGATATCATGATGAAGAAGGAGAAGGATATGGTGATGGAGAGAAATATGGTGATGTAGAGGGGACAAAATGTGGTGATGGAGAGGGTGAAAGATATGGTGAACAATGACTTAGTGATTGACTAATACTTGTGTGGGGAGTAGAAGGCTTAGAATGATAGTTGGGAACAAATGAAGAATATCTCGATGCGTCTTGTGAAGGAAATCAATAATAAGATGAAAGAAATAGTTTAGGATTATATTGCGAGCCAGACAAAGATTTCATGACGTTTGTAATAACGTCTTGAATTTCTCCTCTAAGCATGACAGACCAAATGGGAGGCAAAGAATTGAGTTGAGTAGCTATGTATCGACCAAATTGGTCGTTTTCATTTTCTTCATTTGATAGCTTACAAATAATATCGTCAAGATACTTCATAGCATTTTGTACATCATTATCGATAGTTGGACTTGTCGGTTGCTACCTCTTTAATTTTTTTTTTAACTTGCTTATATTTATTGATTTTTTCTAACGTATCACTCGATATGTTCCGTCTATCACCTTCATCATCTTTTCTTTGCTCTGGAATATTACCTGTTGTCACATCTGAGATATTACTCCCTTCTGTGGAAGTTTCAAAGTGTTGGATGACTTCATCACAATTTTCCAATTCATCAAAAGACTCGCCTTGAGATTCCTTTGTTGGACGATTACAATCTTCATCCTGTTAATGAATAAGAGATATTTTATTATTAAGTGTACAACTTTGCTTCTGCCGTTTTCCTATAGATGGCTTTAGCGGTAAGTGGTGGTCGAAATAAATAGATCATAGACGTGAAGAAGTAACAAATTGGATTGATTCGTGGATCGCCTCAAAAGATGACCAGTTTTTTTCGACGCGGGATTCGTATACGCTGCCCGAAAGATGGGAGAAAGTAGTGGTCAGCGATAGACAATACTTTGAATCATAAATGTATAATCAGTTTTTTACAATAAAGCCTCGAATTCCGGAAAAAACGGCGGAAGCAAAGTTGTACACCTAATATATAATTAAAAAATTTATATTTTCTTATTTGTAAAAAATTCACATTATTTTCTTTCAGCCGCCATCTACACCAGAGAAATGGAAACGCATAATGAATAGATATGAGACACGATGGAACTTTCCCAATTGCGCAGGCGCCATTGACGGAAAATATATCGAGATAATACGCCCAGCCAATAGTGGCTCTAAATTTTTTAATTACAAAGGCACTTACAGCATTGTTTTATTTGCTATGGTAGATGATGATTACAATTTTACGTTCGTTGATATAGGAGCAAATGATCGAACAAGTGATAGTGCCGTTTTTAAAGATTCGAAACTTAATCAGGGATTAGAGAATAAGTCAATTGGTCTCCCAGAAAATGCAGTGATTGTTGGAGATGACGCATTCCCTTTGCGTACCAACCTCTTGAAACCTTACAGCAGGAGATTACTTACTGAAAAAGAACTTATTTTTAACTACCGATTATCTAGAGCAAGACGTATTTCTGAAAACATTTTTGGCATATTTGTATGGAATTTGGTGATTTTTACGATCAATAAATCAGACTCCTGACAGGGTGGATAAAATTGTTTGGGCTGCATGTGCAATCCACAATTGGCTCAGGAAGACTTCTGCATCAATGTACTTACCACCCAAGTAAGTTGATACAGAAGATATTACTACTAAAGATATTATTCCAGGACAGTGGCGAAGTCAAGCGAAAGAGTTTGAACACATTAATTTAAAAGGTTCTAACAATTATAGTTTTGATGCAGAACAAGTCAGAAAGCGATATGCTGAGTATTTTGTTGAAGAAGGAACACTTTCGTGACAGTTAATGAAAATTGGAAAGAAACTTTAACTGTAATATGATGTTATGTATACCTTTATCTCTGTTTATGATAGAAAACTTTTTAGCGTGAGTCCTAGAGTTGATCCTAATTTCATTTTCTTTGCATTGCATTAGATTGCTAAATAATAACAGAGTATTAAATAGCTCTGATTCATTAATCAAAGGTTTTTTCTGCGAGACCAAATGACTTTCTAATTATTTCCAATTATATAAAAAAATAAATAAAACTTACTATCATATTCGATGATGATTGCCTTGTACTGGTGACTTCTCGTAGAAAAAAATCTGCTTGATCATACCAAGTTAATCTTGGAACATACAAAGAATCTGGATCTGTTCCACTCTTTTTGCTTGCTGTTGTTTACTTTCTTAAATTCCTTCCTGTACGTATCTTTAATACTCTTAAATCGTACTATAAAAATAAAAACAAAGCCTCAACAAATGTGTGTCACTAGTTATATTATTTAAAAAATTGTTTTTATCTTATTAAATTATTGTAAATTTTTACACAATCTTTGATTTTCTTACGAAAAGAAAAATATCATTTACAATAATGGCACACTTTCATTTACTACGTTTACATAGCACGCCCCAGGTAAGGTTTGCCGACTCTCAACCGATGTTGAACGTTGGGCCGACGTTGGCGAATTCACGGCAAACCGACAGTCATTAATCGAAC